GCGGGGGGGGGGTAAGAAAAATAGGAATTCAGATTTTTCTTGCTTTCTTTATGTCAGCTGGCACATAACATCATTAACCTCAGTCATATACATTCCTAGTATGCCTTGGCTCTGAACTTTAGAAGAAAAATTCTTGTAGTCATCTTTAATATTTTATAATAATAGTAGATTAAGCCAATGGACTAATAATATAAATATCCTCGTTCCATCTTTTAAAGCTACTTACTCCTGTGATGTATTCTTTTCTGAATGAAGGTTTTACTTCCTACAAATGTTCCTGGATAATTCAGCAAAGACACCTACAATCATATCTACAGCAAACAAGATAGTGAGTCGATTTGGAGTTCTAATAGCTTGCATGTGTGTCTACAGAATGGATATGATGAAACATGACATAAATTAGGAAATCTGTCAGGAGAAAAACTGATTTGCTGTCACAAATGAACCAGTATTGCTGTAATTTCAAGGCCATAGATTTTCAATTACCTGAAATTAGTCATAGTGGTAGGAGACTACTTTTCTTTCTAGTTTACCCCATGACAGTGTTAAAGCCTATTTCAGATATTTCAAGTAGAGAATTTAAAACATCCATTTTAAATGAATTTTAAAAGCCTGTGTTCCCCTTAGACTAACCCTTGGTAATCAAGAATACTAAGATAATATATAAAGATTTACCAGGTAGTAAATTAATAAGCACAAACTGTACTATACAAAATGTCTACTAGTTAAAAAAAATTCAATAAGAAGCCTACATTGGGCCCTATTGGCTTTAATTGTATAATGGAAATCCATTTATATGCATTACCAAACTCTCATCAAATCATACCTCAGGGCAGTAATAGGGAAATCACCTCTTATATTAAACTAGATATGTCAGGAGAATAATGGGTGAAGTGATGGTCGTTTCCAAGAGTGGAACCAGATGTACAAAAAAATCCAGTCCCTAGCTCTGAACTAGAATCTTCTCTTGGCTAATAGGATGTGGCTGAATTCCAGGAAGGTTAGTTCGGTTAAAAAAGTAATGGTTCTTTGGGCATCTAAAATCTTTTTGCTTGTAGGATTTCTTTTTAAATGAGCAAATGCACAGCATGTTTGATGCTGCTCGGACTTGCCCTGTAGAATGCTGCCTCATAAGATTTTCCTGTGACACTTCCTCTCAGTGATGTTTCGCATGTGTTTTTCCCTCTGCCCACACCGTGTTCACCACCAAGTTTCCACCGTCAGTCCCCTCCCACACACAACTTCACTCACACGTGGGCTCCTCGAACCTCAGGGTAATGCAAACTACCACTCACAGTTTTGTACACATTATGGAGAAAAAAATTGACTTCTTCAAAAAAGGGCATAAAGTTCACATAAAGGATTTCGTATTCTTCTGTAGAGTCTCATTCCTGTTTGGTGTACTTGCCGCCACCAGATGATATGCTCTCTCTTTACTTGGGGGACCCCCGAACCAGTTTTCTCTGTTTGACTGGTTTTCCCATCAGAAGTTCTTAATCATGAGTCAATAAAATAATACGCTACAATCACACCCTCAGGGAAGGGAAAGACTGCCTAAATATCTAGATTATTCGAGAAAGGATGGGGGCCGGCGGGACGAGGGGGGAGCCTTGTTTGCTTTTTGTTTTCTGTGCCAGCGAGAGCTGATCTTAAAAACTGAACTAGGATGGTAATAAGGACTGCTTAAATCAGACTTCGTATCTGTGTTGTAAGCCTCCAACTTGAGGAAGCTTAAGAAAAAGAAAACCAGGGTTTCAAGCATGTGCTTGTTTCTAAGCACAAACTTGGCAACTTCTCACGTTGCTTTCACTAAACCTAAGAGTTCTCATACAAGTGAGGTCTGTTTTCATCACTTTCCAGCAAAGATTAAATAGCAGGGTGCCGTAGCGATGACTGTGGTTACTAAGACTTTATTGCCAAGTGAGAAACATCAGAGGGACAACTCCATTTCACCAGAGACCAGGATACCTCGGCCACATGAATGCCAGGCCGAATGCCAGCTGAACCCATCAGTATGCACAACGCCGGAGTCCGGAGCGAACGCCTTTTCTGGAGTACTGAGTCCACAGAGCAGTGTGCAAAGTATCAGAGCAGAGAACAACAATAAGGGGCCCATTCCTGAACATGACTCTGTCATTTTAAAATTCTTAGTCATTTTGGATAAATGATACTGGGAGTTCAAGCGTTTACTTCCAAGGCAATCTGGGGTAGTACCAGCTGTGATTTCGTAAATACAGCTAAATTAATACCCCCATTCTTTTGTTTATTCATCCATCCATTTAAAAATGCAGATGTGAAATAAAATCTTTATAAAGGGCAGGGAGGCGCCTGGGTGGCTCAGTCAGTTAAGCGTCTGCTTTTGGCTCAGGTCATGATCCGGGGGTCCTGGGATCAAGCCCCACACTCAGCGGGGAGTCTGTTTCTCCCTCTCCCTCTGCCCCTCCCCCACTCATGCTCTCTCTCTCTCTCAAATAAATAAATAAAATCTTTAAAAAAGGTATCTAGATTAAAAGATTTTATTTATTTATTTGAGAGAGAGAGAGAAAGCACAGGTGGGGGAGGGGGCAGAGGGAGAAGCAGACTCCCCACTGAGCAGGGAGCCCGATGCAGGGCTCGATCCCAGGACCCTGGAATCATGACCTGAACCGAAGGCAGAGGCTTAACCAACTGAGCCACCCAGGTGCCCCATAAATAAAATCTTTAAAAAAATAAAAATAAAAATGCAGATATTTCTAGGACACCTAATGAGTATCAAGGAAATTCCAAGTACATTTCTTTTGGCATAGGTCATGGGTTAATTTGGAGCTTTGAGAAAAACAGGAATGCAGAATCTGTATTTGAGCAATAATAGCTAAGATAAAAGTGGCTTTTATTAACCACCTACCATGCACCACTCTTTATATATTATACTCTTTATATATTATCTTATTTATCTGTCACACCTAACTTCTAAAGAAGGTGTGGAGGGGTGCCTGGGTGGCTCAGTCGGTTAAGTATTTGCCTTCAGTTCAGGTCATGATCTCAGGGTCCTGGGATCCATCCCTGCAATGGGCTCCTGCTCAGCAGAGAGTCTGCTTCTCCCTCTCCCTCTCCCCCTCCCCTGGCTCGTGCTCTCTCTCTCAAATAAATAAAATCTTTTTTAAAAATAACGAAGGTGTGGAGAAGGCAGTCAAATGATGCTCTGGAGCAGCTCGATTCATAGCAGTAAGAAAAGCCCCTCAGAGATCAAGGGATATACCAGCAGTTTAGAATAAGGTTAAAGGAACATTAAGTCGGCACCCAGAAAAGTCCGAGGAACAGACCAGCTTCATGGCAGGGAAGCCCGTATGTGCTATTCTTGTGTGTTTGTTTTGTTTGTTTGTCCGAGCTTTGATTTTTTTTAAATCAGTGAAACCTGTTTCTTTAAATCTAGGGGCATTTATCAAATCGTATTGTGCTTGTGATATTCTGTGCTTATGGCCACCTTCGTGAAAAGTCTGTATCCCTGTGTGGAATGTGGACCTATAGTTGTTAAGGCGTGGGGCTCTGAAGCCAGAAACTATTGGGTTCAAATTGCCACTCTGATGCTCACCACCTGTATAACCTTGGGCAAAGGATTTCTAGTTGGCTGCGACTGTTTCTGGTCTGTAAAATGAGGATAGTAATAGTTCCTACAGAGCAGAGCGGTTGGGAAATGAGATGATGCATGTGAGTTACTCAACATGGTAGCAAACATTGACGAAGTCCTTATTCTATCAGCCCCTTCTGCCATACCCATACCTCTTTGTACAGTTTGGTACATCTCTTCACTCCCGGGACTCCAAAAAGTACTCTGTTTCTCCCGTGATTTGATAGACAATTTGTAAAAGCTAATATATAATTCATTTAGGAGCAAAAGCTAATTATGCTATATTGCTGTATAATTTCCTCTAGTGTGCAGGTACCTGATGCAGCTTATTAAAGTAAGAAAGCAAATTCTGCTGTCTATCAGAAGGCAGAAATTTGTGAGTTCAGCGTCTGGGCTTCTCAAATGGTAGTGTGCCTATGAGTCCTAGGCCTCCTTAAAATGCAGATCATGACCCAATAGGTAGAGGGTGGAGCTTGAGGTCCTGCATTTCCAGCAAGTTCCCAGGCCATGCCAGTGCTGTGGGTCTGCAGGCCACACTTTGATCTAGACCCAAAAACAGCGGCAGTGACTGAGTGAACAGGGCTGAGGAATTGGTGTGCACACCCTCCAGCCATGGGTAATTTCCTTGACAGCCGTGTTTCCGCCGAAGACCCAGAGCTCAACCCCCACGGACATAATCAAGCCTCCCCCAAAAGGCAGCACTGTCCTACGCAAACACCTGTGGAAACATTGAGAAAAACCTGCCATGAGACACCTGGTCAGCCCCTAACTGCTCAACCGAGAGAAAGCTCCTTGGTTTTAACACTTTGCTGCTCCTTTTCTAATAAAAGGCCAATTTTCCCAAGGCCCCGTTATTTCCAAAACCACTTGTAACAGAAGTCCCCGAGGCTAGTGGACCCCAGGAGAGAGCATCGCAGACTACTTGAGCTTTGTCACGGCAATGAGGAGTAGCTCCGCTGAGAACAACTTGGCCTCTGTGGGCCATTTCTCACTGCTACACCTAATAGATTCCTTTATAGCAAGGCACTCCGTCTTTACATAGTGGATTTGGGTGCCAACTGGACCAATAAAACGCAAAGAACATGAGGGAGGGACTCTATGTCTCCATCTTCCCTAGACAGTTTCACTGCGGTGGAGGGGGTGGGTAATCAGAAATCGCCCCAAATGATTTAGTGCCGAAGAGCAAATCCTGGAAACACTTTTTTTTTTAAAGCTTTTATTTATTTATTTGAGAGAGAGTAGGAGCAGGGGGAGCAGCAGTGGGAGAGGGAGAAGCAGACTCCCCGCTGAGCAGGGAGCCCGATGTGGGGCTCGATCCCAGGACTCCGGGATCATGACCTGAGCTGAAAGCAGATGCTTAACCAACTGAGCCACCCACGCAGCCCTGGAAACACTTAAAAAAAAAAAAATCTAATGTTTAAAAACCCTGGAAATACTGGGCAAATATAAGTAATACTGCATATTCAGGGTCCCGTGTACGCCTTTTGCAATTCTAGGTTTCATGCAGACAACTGAATTATAAAGTGTTGAAATCCTCTCCTTCGCCATGGTTCATGGGTTTTTTTTCTAACACTGTTCCTACAGTATTGCTCGCCCTGACCCAGTGACAGGAGATGCAACGCTGTGCTGGGAGCACCATCTTCCAAGGCTGTCCCTGCTTGGCAGACTGCAAATGCAAACTTTCCATCTCCACATATTCCAGGGAGCTTTTCCACAGTCTGTCCAAGAAGCAAACTTACAAATTTATTTTTGAGTCCTACACCTAGTTCTAGCAAATATACTGGGTATGGTCGTTTCTATAGATAAAATGACAGTAAAAGGTACAACAGGAATTCAGGAAAAGCATCCTTACTCGGGTGTAGAACTAGAGAAAAATAATAACATAAAAAAAAAAGCAAAGTTGGGGGAGGGGTATGTCAAACTCTGTGATTTCTGTGCAATTTTGCCACAAACCTAAACTTGCTCTACAAAATAGAGTCCTATTAATAAACGAAAGGCAAAGTTCATGACCTTGGAAAATATAAGCAGATACCTTGACTACAAAAGCTTGAGGAAGGATGTTCAAGAAGAAGGAGCTTCCAAAAAGTTTTCTATTGCTGTACCATAATTAACTGGTATCATGAAAAAAAAAATCCCATTCCTGTAGTGGAAGGTAATGAGATCCCTCACCCCATTCCTTCTCTTAAGCAGGAGGAAGCATCCTGGAATGAGAGCATGTTGAAATGTAAAAAACGGCTTGCTTAGAGTGAGGCCTGGGTTTGAATCCCAAGTCTGCCTTCCTACCAGCTGCATGACTTTGGGCAAGCTACTTCACAGCTTTGACCTTTAGTGTTCTCATCTGTAAAATAGTAATATTGGCATGTGCGTAACGGAGTTACGGTGACCGTTAAATGAAATATTATAAGTGAAACCACTAGCCAGAGTCTGTGCTTGGCAAGTGTTAGTTGAAATTAATCAGCTTCTAGAAGCAATGCCCGGCTTTTGTGGCTTAATCCTGTGAGGAGGATTATCATGTCAGTTAGATGGAAGGTCAGTCAGTGGGGAAGGAAGGCTGGAGAGGGATGGGACCTGCTCCTGCCGAGGTAGGCAGTCTGCCTGACACACTGGAGGCCCCCAAGAGATACTTGTTGAATGTACAAGGCTCTGCACTCGAATACCTAAGATTTCACGTGGCTGGTTGATTTTATCCTCAGATGTGTTACTTTGATGATTATAGAACATCACGCTTTCTGAAGCACATTTATAGCTATTTAATAAAACAAACCCAAACCTGGGAGGTAGATAGGACAGATCTTAGACTCTATTTTGTAAAAGTGGAAACTGAGGTATACAGAGAGTCACACACACACACACGAACTCAGGTCTTCTAACTTATGATCAGTTTTTCTACTGTATCTGTTGAAAGTTAGGGAATCTCTTTTCCCTGTACCCACTGGTGGAAAAGTGCCATTCTAACCAGTTAAGACAGCGTGGATGAGACGTAAGCCTGAGTCTGGGAAGTGTATAATAGAAGGGGAGATTTTTGCTGGGTTAGGTAGTGGTTGCTTGTGATATTGTATGAAGTAAGATAGCGGAGGACAAACATAGAAAAGAATTGGTCAATGACCAGACATTTCACAAAAGTATCCATTTCCAAATAGTTTTACTGTTTCTTTTCAGTTGGGGATTTAATGGTCACTGATGGCCATCAGCGGGCATTGCCAAATGCATGAGGCCACTGTAGGTGAATTTTACTTAGGCTTTAATGAGAGTTCTTCATGATGTCAGGACTGATCGGACACTTGGCCAAAAGCACCTTCTTTACATTTTAGACTTATTCCCAAATAATATATTGTAAAGGCTTGATGGGGGCAGGACTGGTGTGTGGCCAGGCAAAGAGAGAAAAAACTAAAGAAAGGTTTTCTT